GAAAAGAAATGAACTAATACCAAAGAGATCTATAAAACAGTGGCTAATACACCTTTGACATAAAAAAAGGTAAAATTAGTGCAATTTGAATTTGAACTCGAAGGTTTGATATTAACAAAACTTTCCTAGAAACTGCTGGATGAGCCAGTAGACTATGTTATATTATACTGGTTTGCAGCAAACCTCTGCTATTCTCAACTAATAATATTCCTTACCCTCTCCTAGTCATTGATGTGGTAATTTTAGTGGTAGTTAATAACTGAATTATTCAGAGTTCCAAATGGGTATTACATTGTATGAGAGTATTTAAATTCAAATGTATGCAGGCTATACAGCACTGGTTGGAGGAAACAGTTTGGGGGCACTGAATAAAATGAATGCTGAGTCACTGCACTGAGGCTCAAGAAGCAGGCGGACAGGAAGAAAACAGTGTAGGTATCATGGGAGCCTGCTGAGGAGAACAGGACACTGGCATCTGCTACTACACCAGGGGAGGTGTGGGAAAAAGAAAAAAAAAAAAAGAAAAAGGAGAGAGACATATTAGGGCAAGAGAGGAAATGGAAGTACAGCACAAAGAGGAAAGGAGAAATGATGAAGTGCAGCAGAGGCCTGAAGGGTGAAAAGAGGGCAACAGAGAACCTAATAAAAAAGGAGAATAATAGAAGAGCAGAGAAGGACAGGAAGAGGACAGAAAGCAGAAAGGTCTAAGAGGGGCCAGGATAGGGACAGAACAACATCTATGCGTTCTCAGTGCTTCTCAGCTTGACTCAGCAATAAAGGGAGAATTGAGTGACTTCAGATTATGCTGACTCAGCCTGCTTTTGGACGTGACCCCAAGGCCCCTACGGTCACAGGATATACACATTTTTTCCATGTAAAATGCTAATTAATATGCTATGCAGTTATAATTGTAAATAACAGAGGTTGTAATTAAATATTTTATATATACATTACCACTTTTAAAAACAATGAGCTTTAAGTGGCTTCAAAGAAAACTGCATTTCCAATATGACATGAACTTGGTGAGAAATGGCACAGATCATAGTTGATGATTAATGGAATTATTTTTGTTAATCATGAATCACATGGTTTTTAATGAAATGTCAAAAAAGATGCACAAAGGTCCATCTCTCTGTCAATCCTGCGCTCTAATGCCACAGTATTTTGCTAGTCAAGAATCTTTAGCATCAGCGTTTGGGGCTTTGATTACAGTAAAACCTCCGGATCATTCGAGCACTTATGCAAATATGTGATGTCTTGATGAATCGAGCAGATATTTGAAGTTTACACAGCACCATTCTCACATGAAAATATCTTAAAAGTTTATTTTGTGACCCAGAAAGAGTAATATTTCAAACTCTGCCACTCAGTGTTCCTCCGCCACTGCCTCGATTGAGTTTTGGACGAAATGGATTCTGGGATGTTGCATTTCATCATTTCGAGCTGATTGGAGACCAGAACAGCCAATCAGATTTTTTTGCATCCAAGTCTGTGATTGGCTGGTTTTGTGGAACAAATATAACGGTGTAGAGAAAGAGTTGAGCGCGCACGGCAGAAATGTTGAGAGCGCGAGCAATACATTGCGAGCGAGCGCAAATACAAAAACTGAGCGAGAGGGGCTGCTATTGTGCGTTTGTGTGGATAATAGCAAACACTGAAATTTGCAGGCAGCAATGAATTTTGTTCACTCAAATTCATTCATTTTTTACGTGCGCTCAGAATAGTGGCACAAAAATAACGCCATAAAATTGTGGTCATAAATATTTTGTACTTGTAAATCAGGATGTGCGTGTGTAAAAAAGATTTGTGTGTGGACCAAAAAATACGTGTGAAACTTTCAAGTTTCAAGTTACAAGTACGAATTTTGACCTTGTTTTTCTTCCTTTCATCTGATTGGCCAATGTCATGTCAATCACAAATTTAACTATCCAATCAGAGAACAGATGGGTTTGGCTGTCGGAGGGGCACTTTTTTGACCCTTGAAGGGTAATACAGTTTGAAGCTGGAGGATCTCTATGTAAATATCCGATAGAAGCTAGGTGCCCTAACTTTCAGCAGCTGTTGAAAGGATAAAGTTGTGGTATATCAGTGGTTAGAAATACCATTATTACTTTAGGATTAGTTTAACACAAACTGTGAGTCACAGTGCGCAGCATAAAGGTCCTTTCACATCGGAGGCAGCATGTGCTGCTAATGCTAACTGCTAACTAAAAGCCAAGGATCCAGAATTTGTTGCGCTGGCTGCTGAGCTCTGTGGGTTTTTGCAGCAGCTCTACCTGTACTAGTTGCACCTGCTCCTTGTTGTTTCTATCTCTGACTTTATGTCCTCGACAAGAGTTTGGTTTTTTTGCTGGTTCTTCAAATATTCAATAAAAACATGTATGCTCATTCATAACAAAGAAAGCTTTGTAACTATCCACACTGTGAACACCGTCATTTCCACAATACGAGAGTAACGCTGCAGCACTAAAATAGTAATCTCCAAATGTTTTCTTTTTACCGACCAGCTCCTCTTTGATAGCTGCCGCGTCCATCTTGTCGTTATCTGCAGGTGAAGCGATGCTGGAGGGGGAGTTGTGTTCAGTGAAGGAGAGAGGCGAGGCAGAGTAACGCAGCGTAGAGACAAAAGTGGACGAAAGAGAGGCAAACTTGTGGTTCCACAAGTATAATTATAACGTAACAGACTATATCGATATAAACGATATTGTCACATCTCTTATCTTGTATGAAAATATATCGATATATTTAAAAACTCGATATATCGCCCAGTCCTAATTCATGGTACAACACACGCACACACACACAAAAGGACAATTTCATGTGGAAACTGACAAATTTTTTTTTTACAAAAATTGCAATTACTGTGTAAACCATCTTGGTATAAAAATAAAGCTGACACTTCAGAGCATAACAGCAGATGCCATTGTGTCAATGTAACTCAGGATAAAACAGAAAAATATTTAGGAGATTTTCCTGGCCTGGTCTTTTATGGCATATAACCCCATTGAAAATATGCTGCAGTAGATCAAAAAATGAAGAAAACCACGAATCAACCACAACTTAACATGTGGATTTTGGTCTTGACGTACACTGAGAGAGAGCATGAAGGAAAACTTTATCGTGGTGGTAGCAAGACAGAATTCACACCAACGTTTTCCAAAGGTGAAGCGTAGTTTTGGTCTTTTGTTGCTGGTTCAGCGAACTTTGATCGAAGAGAGTTTCAGATTCTGCGAGATGTCGGCTTTCAGCACCAGATGGCGTGTCCGTGTATTTGCTTACCTGTGCTTTAATCATTTGGTGTTTTATCTGTTTAGGTTGTTGAAATGGTCTTGTGAGGTTTTAGCTGAGATCGGGACGGTTCTTGCAAAATACATTTATATTTAAAAAATTGATTTCAGGATTTATTGAATGGATATTGGATTAAAGTCCATTTGAATTGAGAAACTGATTTTTTAAACCCACCACTGAACAGATGTTAACTTATCTGGTGCACATGTTAACATTAGCCATTAAAAATTTGACATTTACTCAATAGGCACTTTCAATTTTCTTTTTATAATAATTTATTAAAAGGTGTTTTATCTTTTGTTGTAGCCAGCTGCGATGTTTTAAAATCAGACAGTTACTTGCTAAATCTAACTTAGTATTTTGTAACTTCTCCATTTTAGCCAAAGTTCATTTAAAATTTTTTAATCAATGTTCTCCGAGCATAGTTTCGGGTACGTGGCAGGCAGATTATGGAAAACTTGCCACAATTCTTTTGTGGGTTTAATAATTATTGTCTTTGGCCTTTTCATGTAATACCAGTATGACTTCTTGATGCTGCGATTAGTGCTCTGTGGGGATGTACTTGTTGATGGAGGATAATTTGATCTTCTTGGGCCGAAGAACGTTTTTTGTGACTGTGGCAGACTGTTCTGGGAAGTTCAGGTTGACTGTAAGTCATGTCTAAGTCTTGCTTCATGAACAGATCTATTTTCCAAACGAACAATGTTCTAAAGCAGAGGCACTTTGTTTCAATATTCAAGAGGCTGAAATGCTAATGAGAGTGTGGACCACACATCAAGAAATGTGTAATGACATTCTGATTATTCTTAAGCGTCACTGGCAGACAGAGTGAGTGAAAATGTAAAAGAAACGGACTGTTGGATTCTGTCAGAGGGGAAAAAAAAAACCGCCCCCCCCCCCCCCCCCCGTTGTCTTCAGGGCTAGACAGTCAGACAGGCTGGCAAATAAGGATGACTCATCCTGACTCTCACACACACACACACACTTGCCCTTCTTTCTGCTTTCCCCACTACACTGACAAACAGCCCTGCAGCTACCAACATGTGACTCATCTCTTAGCCTTTCTGAGTCTGTCAGGATGCACCCCAAATACACACACACACACACACACTCTTAACTGTCTTTTGTGAAGATGAGATTCCAGTGGTGAGGGGTTTCCATGTCTTGTGGAGGTGATACCTGAACAACCTTCAAAAGAGATAAGCTCCTTTGTTATGTTCAGTTATACCAGAGACGGCTGAACTGACACACGCATGCACACAGTCTCTAGGAGATGTCAACTGACACCCAGAGTCAGAGTGCCTTACCAGCATGTATATTTACTTTAATTTGAACATTTCCATAAAAGCTAAATATTTTGATTTGTTTGTGGCAAGCAGCAAAACAACAGACATTCAAAAGCCTTCAGTCGGAGACAAAAACCTAACAAGCAGTTTAACATTTATAAAGCGGTAAACTGTAGGAAAAAAGGGACTGAGGTGAACAAGGGGCAACTGTTTTCACCCTGTTGTAGCAGAGTTCTCACAAACAGGTTTGTGAATAAAGTGTGTGTGTGTGTGTGTGTAACAGGATCAGCATGTGTGCCACTAAAGGTTAAGTGATGACTGAGTTACCAGAATTTGAAAGGCTATTTGCGGAGTGCCCCAAACTGTCCCTCTGCTTTGTAAGTTTCTGCCTAACAAAACACGTTCTGGTTGTGAGTGCATGAGTACCTGCTTTTGGTTCATTGTGGCTTTCTTCCAGCTCCAGGCTGTTCATGCATTTAAGCTCCCAGTCTTGGACCTCTGTATTCCACAGGGCAGGAACCAACACCGTATACTGGGCCCTTTGATTAAGAGACAGTACAGGACACATATGATAATACAACTTCTGTTGTAGTATTCAATCTGCTTACATTTGCATCCAAAGTTATTCAAATGGATTCGATATGGTTTCTATAATTTAATTTGGGTTTATTGCTTCCAGCTTTTAAAGAAAATTAAATTAACATTAACTGAGAAGATGATTGATAGGCGAGAAAGAAAGTGTCAGTCTAGCCCCAGAGTTCACTGTAAAGGGCATCAGTGTTAGAGAGGCAGATCATCTGTAACATACAGATTTGTAAAGTAAAAACTGGATCTTGGATAAAGAATAACTTATCTGTATGAATGATTTATGCATCGGGGTAATCAGCTTTAAGAACATCTAGCATAAATAAACCCGACTTCAATATGTACTTAACACAGAGTCCTGATACACATATTGATCTTCAGTTCACTCTAAAAGCAGACAAGAAATTTTAGTTAAAAACCATTTTTAACTGGAATTGGGATAGATCACATGTCCCAGCATAGAATGACAGATGGCTGCACATAACAGCCAGAGCACTTTCCGGAAAATGAAAATCGAGTGAAATGAGTGGGAAGAAGATAGATGAATGAGGCAGAATTCTGATGGATCTGGGTTTTTGTCAGCTCATTAAAAGATCAAGCAAACGTTTCAGAGCCGGTGATGTGCTGCTAATGTATGATGAGCAGAAATCCTTCCTCACCAAACCAAACTGATGCCATAAACATACACGACACACAAAAAGGTTCCAGTTTATGAAGACCAGGCAAGAGATGCAGAACGCTTCTTTCAATTTTCCCAAAAATTTACTTACAAAACTAAATAAACCATAATCCTCCGGAAGCTTGCACCACTAAAGAAACAGAGCAGACCAGTATTGCTTTTACTGAAACTTTGGCCCACTCAAGTTTGTAAGTTAGATAAGAGTTCTTTAATTGGAAAAAGAATTACTATAGATGTATAATTTGAAATGATCTGAAGTTGTATCCACATCCACTTTACTTACAAACTCTCAAAGCTAAAGATCATCGCTGAACTTCAGTGTTTAAGAGGAACACAGTGAAAGTGAAAGACATGGCTTTGGAAATAACATGTGATCTGCATCAAACTAACTTCAATGGTCTATTGTGAAGGTGTGGTAAAGAGGAGGTCACTGACCAGAGCACTTTCACCAACAGACGTTTTCAGCTCTATTGCCACAGGGAGAGATTCAGGAAAGGAAAGAAGATTCATTACAGTACCTAATGACTCTTTACAATACAACGCATCGCATTATCAATATGGTAGAAATATATAATGAGGTTAAAAAAAAAGAAAAAAAAAAGGAATTAACATACTTTTAAAGTAGTTCAAAGTATATACCAGATGGTGTTAGACAGATCTTTTAGAGAAACCACCGAGACGTTTCTGTCAACTTTCTCTCATAGACTGTATTTCTCAAAGAGCAAACATGCTCGATACGACACAGCACAAGGCTGATCAACCCCAGACATTTTTTGTATCAGGTTTCTAAGAAAGTACTTTAAAAGGTTTGATTCACTAAGAGCAACTGAGCAACCCTCAGTGTGAATGCAGCAGAGACTTTTTTGTAAGCCACCGTTGTCACTGTGAAATAAACAAATGATGTGTCAACCCCTGCAGCTGAACTAGAGTGGCAGTGTGGATAAATGAATGAATGAAAGGACGCATAGGAGAGGAAAGGGGGGTGCAGAAAAGAAAATGAGAACACAGGGGAGGAGGGATAACCCACACTGTTTTATGGGAATTGACGAAGGAGGGGGTAAACAAAAAAGAAAGAGATCGGACTGGTGGCTAAGAATGCTGTGTATGGGAAGTGAGTGGGAGGGGGTGCAGAGGGGGAAGCAGAGAGACAGGACTCTGCACAGGAGATACTGAAGACGGCACAATGAAAAGTAGCTACTGAAAGAAAGCGGTAAATGAGTCGGAGGGGTAGTGAAAGTTTCAAGGTGATTCGAAACAAAATTTAAAACAAAAACAAAATAAATTCAAGCCAATTTTATTTGAAAATGAAGACTATAAACCTACAAATAAGTAACTTAACTTGAAGAGTTATATGTTTTACTGTGTCTCTACATGCTGTGCTCACCAAATGCACCTAAAAGCAACATACTGAATACGCACTGAATAGGTTTGCCAGCAGCCTCTGGAATAAACCATTTAAAAGCAATGCAGTGCATCTGGCTGCTTTATCAGAGGTTGAATAGTGCAGCCTCCTGACTCCAGCTAAATATGAGGCTGACTCCACCTCAAGATAACAACACTCATAAAAATAATTAACAAAATATGTCTGTAGTTTGTGGTAGTAACAGCTTAGGTAACAGCTTGTTAGTGGGCAGACATAAAAATCAATCCCCGCCCCTCAAAATAAAGAAAAAAACAAACCAAAAAAAGATTAGAGTGAAAACATTTCAGAGCTGGACAGTGCACAGCAGGCTTCTCTCTGGCTGACACACACACACACGACAAAGAAATGACATAATGGAAACAACCAAGGTGGAGTGACAGATAATGTCTTTTTAAAGATAAGAACTCTTGTTTTGAAAGTTCAATTAAAACCTTTGAGGTTAAAAAGCCTGAAATGTTTATCAAACACACACGAGTAGACAATGAATCTTTTCAGCCGCTCCACCCAGAACACGTGTTTTACTCAGCCACAGCAGGTAGTTAAACAGCAACCTCCTGCCTATTTTTTTTTTCTAAATTCATGTAAAACTTTTCTTTGAAACGCGCATTTGAAAAACTAATATGTGAATTTGTGTGTCATGCAGGCCTTTTACAACTCAGATGGAAAAGTGTGAACTTTAGGCAGCACTCTATTTTATTTCCCCTCATCAACACATCATATTACACCACACAAGGAAGTCTCTGTGCAATCTGCCTTGGTGTTCTGTGCAGTAGAGGGTGGCAGTGACTCCAAGCGGTAGGAATTGCGTGAGCTGGGTGTGTGGGGGGGGTTGCACAAACTTGAACCCTACAGGACACGATTCCAGAGTTTTCATGACATGAAGCGCAATGGAACTCATTTTAGTATTGCAAACAGTTCACATGGAAGATAACTTGTTTGCAAACATCTTACCAAGTAGTACTGAAACTGAGAAAAAAACCCCAAAAAAACCACAATGCAAATCGAAAACCGGCCGTTGAAAGAAGTCCGCACAGCTTTTAACTTGAAGGTGAACATTCTTCATTTCCAGTTTGGGTTGTACTTTAAGCAGCAGTGAAACTTAAAACGAGTAGGTGGTAAGTTAGCGTCTTCCAGGCAAACAAAGGGTAGCCAGGGCAGTCATCTGGTGACCAATCAAAAGGAGGTTTTTGGTGCAGTGCATTCTGACCAATTTCACTTAGCGTCAAAAGCCAAGCTCTTCTAGGGAGCATAAACTCCACTGCAAAAACAGCTTTGAATTTTTGTGAATATGTAGACATTTTTTTCCACCTGAAAAATCTAGTTGTTGCTTTTTTAATTTATTTGCTGAAGTTGCCAACCTGCAAGTTCTTTATGCTGTTTTTAAGGTGCTTTATGCTGACAGACTGCTATAGCCTGTATACATTTAACAGGTCTTGTAAACAAAAGGTACATATATACATATATATACACACACATATACATATACACACACATATATACACATATATCCTCAACAGAAAGAAAAAAAAAAATCACTGAGTTTATCTTTTTTTTTTTTCTTTTAAAGAGCCCTCATCACCATTATGTTGTTGCACTACTTACAATATTAATGAGAATATTGATCATTATCATTATCGATAAAATCCTAGCGATGAGCATAATCATAACAAATACTGTGTTCAAGACACGTGGCAGCTAACAGCTAACAATAAGGGAGAATGTCATTAAAGCCTCAGGGGGTCACAAGCTAGCGTATTCCTAGTGCTGGTCCCAAGCCTAAAAATAGGGAGGGTTGTGTCAGGAAAAGCATCTGGTGGAAAATCTGTGCCAAAACAAAACATGTGTATCCAGCCGCTGTGCCAACCGCTTGGAACTAAAGGGGCAGCCAAAAGTACATACTAGAGTTTAAAAAAAAATTTGAATCCATTTTCAGTTGATAAAGAAAATAGATTTTTATAATATCAAAGAAAAAGTACGCTAATGAATTCAACTGGAGCTCAGTAATACAATTTTAGGTTAGATAATTGAAAAACAATTTTCCATAAGCTGCTGACTAACTCTTTTTAAAGAACAGAAAGATGAAGAAAAGTGAGAAAAACATCTATTAAACTCACATACCTGGATCACTGATGCAAATCAAATGATAGAGTTAAGAGCTAAATTAGCACTTACATGCAGAACAGCTGTGAGTAATTCAAGAGTTTTAACAGCTTATACATATTGATGCATAAGAATGGGATATCTCATTTTAATCTGTAATCACCTGAGATTTACGTAAAAATAAAAAAGTGAATGAAAAGAAAGAACAATGAGAAGTGGTTCTAAGAGTCCCTTGAAAAACAAATAGCAAAAGTTTAAATGAAAGAAAGAAAAATAATGTATGAAATACAGAAGCTGCTCCTTGACTGGTGATATAGGCTGTGTTTGGAGTCATTATTACAGCCTATGTCTGAGATGACAGCTGACTGACAGCCAAGTGTAGACAGACAGTCACATGAGATGGATGAGCCTCTCAACCACTCATTAATCAGAATGGCCTATGTGGCTGCATGACAACACCCATTTATACCATTCACAGAGTAAAAGAGCTGAGAAGCTTAAAGAAAATTAAGGAGAGGTTGAAGATCTCAGCCCCTCTCCTCCTTCATTTTTGTCCCTCTCTTTCCCCCCCCTAATTTTTTTGTACCATCTCTCCCTAGCCATTTCCCTCTCTGACCCCCCATTCATCCCTTTTCCTTTCCCCACTTGCCCCCTTTCACTCTTTCTTCAGCAGTATCTTCCCACTGTAAGGAGATCCTGCCCTGGGAGACAGCCGGACCACTTAGTGTTGACTTCTGACCAAGCTTCTGCAATGATGCCAAGCAGGCAACAAGGACTTCTCAATGTGACGTGATGGCAGGCTGCCCACTGAACGCCAGGGCTAGAACAAAACGGGCCTGTCAGTGCTGCCCTTGATGCATGCTTTTACAAACTGCAGAAGAGGTTCACAGATGGATCGAAATGTTCTGTTTCTTTCCTTGTAACCTAAAAGAAAACACAACTGATTGCTTTTTTAAGCGGAATGTAAGTTAGCTATAAATGTTCCAAGTACATCATGATTAAACAGTTATTAAACTGTTACACTCAATAGTCCTGCATATTTGGTCCTTTCTAATCTACTTTGCAAGTCACTGGTGCGTATCTAGTACATATGCTCCATCTCTGGTCATGATAAAGTGCTTTATCACTACCTGTGACACAGTTACACCTATAGAAACTACTTGGCTGCGTTGCCTCCATTTGTCCAGGGTCTACTTTACAGATCTTTGTCCAAGGTAAACAACCTTGGGTCCACACAGTGTCACCTGTCTACAATGAGAAGCACATAGGAGGGTAGAATTTAAGTAGCTGAAGGGAGCTTATCTATTAAAACAAATATGATAAACTGAATTTTAATATTCACTGTGCAGCTGCACGTCTCTCACAGACAGACTGTATACACAAACCCAGTGACCCTGCTGAGTTTCCATAACTACAGCTCCATGTCAACAAAACATGTCCGTCGGCATGTGACGTTTATATTCAGCATAGTGAGAGAGAGACAGAGGGCTTCAACCAAAAGCACCATGGGCTGCCATTGAAGAAACTAATTTAGCAGAAAGGATGTTTAATCCAGACATGGACGAAAACAACCTCGCCAAAACACTAACACTCTATTTTTCCTGGAATGCTCGATGTCAAACATGTCCAGTCTGATGAGCTGATTGATATTCATGAGCTGCCTGGAGTTTTATTTAGTGCTTAAAAACGGAGCCCTTGGCTCTGAGAAATGTGCAGCACATTGTACCCATGCAGCTCAAGCATGAGGGTGGTCTGGGAAAATATTAATGCATGAAAGCTAAAGACATGTGACAATGAGAGATGTCAGAAATAGAAGGATAACTGTGCGCTAATGCTAACAGCAGAGCATTCAGAAAGCTCAAGCTCAAGTCTCATTTTACTTACACATCAACAGGTACTCTTAACAGCAGGGGTAATATTGCTCCTTCATCTTTCAGGTCCATTAGTCGGGGCTCCAAGAGCTCAACGATGGTCAGAGCGGTACGGAAGACAGCTGACAAGCCTGTGGGAAGAACAGGAAGTTAAAGCAGTAGTTTAACATTTTAGCAAATTTTGCTTTTGTGCCTAGAATTAGATTAGAAGATCACTTTTACTGTCATCTTTACTGAAATCTGCAGGCCAGCAGCCAGTTACCCACGTGAAGTTCTGTGACTGTGCACCCACCGTGTAGAATGATGAGATCCCAGACAGCCAGAACAGAGTCCCAGCAGGGCAGGGAAGTGAAAAGGGTCAGGAACCACGGCATCACAAAGTGGACTGACGAGATTCCCACTGACTCCTGAAGGGAGGATGGAAAAAAAACAGGAAGGACTGATTTGGCATGACCCTTTAGTACTGATTGCCAATTTCCTTACTGAAAAATCCTTCCACTACATAAAATGATAACAGTCATACCACGCAACCTTGCAAAGGCTTTTTTGGTGTTTTCCTGTAACCATATACTTTAAGAAAGAACACACACTCTGGTTATTTTATGACAGTGTGGCATTCAAGATGCCTCCTGGCTCTGTGTGCTCAGGTCTGGTGTGTGCAGCACAAGTACAAAAATATGTTTACAGCTGGTTTGCCTTGACTCTGATGAACAGCTCTACTACAAAGGAAATGCTGACCCCTGATCTCTAACAGGCTTCTTCTGTAAGGGGAGGAAAAAACTGCCTACAATAAACCCCCTGGTGTGTGTGTGTGTGTGTTTTGCCTTCAGAGACAATTAATCAGCACAAATGGTATCAGTGAATAAATTTATGGTGGTTCTCAAACCGAGGCTGGCCACTCTAATGGACCATAGAGTCACTGCAGGTGGAGTGTGGATGACCCTGGAAAATACAGAGTGAGACTAATTTGAATAAGTATACTGTTGTAGGGAAAACAAGACTTTGTTGATGTTATTTGTTGTTCATTATTCATCTAAATAACGAATTCATTTTTTTAAATTGGTAAACTCATGTATACTGACTTAAAAAACAAACAAACAAGACAAAAAAGCCCCCCCAAAACCCACAGTGGCATAGGCCATGGTTTACAGCAACAGCAAGAGAACAAGAGCTGTGCATAAGCCTCAGATGACGACTTAAAACCCGAGCTACTTCAACAACCTCCAACAAAGCACTGCAGTCTGCAAAATACAACCAGGCCACGAAGGCATGTTGCACAGAAAGAGCAAGTGACGAACAGAAATTGACGCAGCTACACGGTAGAAAAGCAGAGCATTAAGCAACTAATTAACAAGCAAAACCTAAGATCAAGCATCCATGGCAGGCAATATCT